CCAAAGCTCATACAACATGTCTGTCATGGAGCTGGCCTCAGGTAACACTTGCTGAATTAACAAGCACCTCATTAGCTAGAGACGTTACTGTCTCTTATCTTCTATTTATGGAAATCTGAAGAGTAAATTAAATTCCGTAAGCTTTAACTAGCCCCTCCTTCATTAGATTTTCTTCCAGCTTCCAGCTGCTTCCAGGGACTACTGAGGTCTACAGTGAGATCCACCTCCAAGGGGCTTATATTGAGGAGGCCCCACTCACCTTATTCACAGCTGGCTTCTTCTCTTTAATCCAATTAGATTTTGGGTTCATTCCATCATAAGTGAGTTTTTTTTTTTTTTTTTGTATTTTTAGTAGAGGTGGGGTTCCACCATGTTGACCAGGATGGTCTCGATCTCTTGACCTTGTGATCCACCCACCACAGCCTCCCAAAGTGCTGGGATTACAGGCTTGAGCCACCGCGCCCGGCATAAGTGAGTTTTTAATTGCTGCTATAGGGTTTTTACTACAAGGAAAAAAGGTAATTGTATCTTGAGAGTATTCTTTTTAAAATTAATATAAACAAAATGTTGCCATATTATCATTATAGATCAAATCTGAAATATGAGGTCTATTGACAAGATTTGGAATCAGGATTCATTAAAATTTAAAAAAATTGGGCATCCTTCATCCTTCTAAAATACATAGGCCTACTTTCAAATAGTTTATTATCATGAAAGTAAAATCTCCTCCATAATTACAGTTTGTAGTCATAAAAGTAAAAGTAAACTTTCAATCAGGGAAGTCAGTTATATGGATTCAGACGTCTTTACTAAAATTGCACTGATTATACCACATACTTTTTTGTCTTTCATAAATTATTTTTATAATAACCTTATCAGGACAACACAAACCATTTACAATATATTTGAACTTTTTTGTACTTTTTTTTTCTTTTATTTTAGGTTCAAGGGGTACATGTACAGTTTTGTTACATGAATAAATTTTGTGTTGCAGGGGTTTGGTGTACAGTGTATTTCATTGCCAAGGTAATGAGGATACTACCTGACAGTTTTTCAGTCCTCACCCACCTCCCACTCTCTACCTTCGAATAGGCCCCAGGGTCTATTGTCCCCCTCTTTGGGTCCATGTATACTCAATGCTTTGCTCTCACTTATAAGTGATAACATGTGGTATTTGCTTTTCTGTTCCTGCATTAATTTGCTTAGGATAATGGCCTCCATCACCACCCATGATGCCACAAAGGAAATGATTTCATTCTTTTTTTTTTTTTTTTTTTTTTTTTGAGACGGAGTTTCACTCTTGTTACCCAGGCTGGAGTGCAATGGCGCGATCTCGGCTCACCACAACTTCGGCCTCCTGGGTTCAGGCAATTCTCCTGCCTCAGCCTCCTGAGTAGCTGGGATTACAGGCACGCGCCACCATGCCCAGCTAATTTTTTGTATTTTTAGTAGAGACGAAGTTTCACCATGTTGACCAGGATGGTCTCGATCTCTTGACCTCGTGATCCATCCGCCTTGGCCTCCCAAAGTGCTGGGATTACAGGCTTGAGCCACCGCACCCGGCCCAATTTCATTCTTTTTATGGCTGCATAGTATTCCATGATGTGTATGTACCATATTGTCTTTATGTAGTCCACCACTGATGAACATTTAGGTTGATTCCATTTTTTGCTATTGTAAATAGTGCAGTGATAAATGTATGTGTGCATGTGTCTTTATGGAGAACGACTTATATTCTATCTACTGGATATATACATAGTAATGGGATTGCTGGGTCAAATGGTACTTCTATTTTAAGTGCTTTGAGAAATCTGCAAATTGCATACTTTTTTCTTCACAAAGCTATATTTCTCAACACTGTGAGGATTCCTCTTTATAAATTTGGTAAAGGAATCTCAAAACTCTTGCCTGATAGCCATTAAAGTCCTTTTTTGTTACAGTATCCCAAATAAAAATATTTTAAGAATTTAGATGAGTCACAAATTAATAGGATTTGAGAAGTGAGAATGCAAAATCAGGTGACTGCAAGTAGGCATGGGAGAAATTTGATTACTTTCAGGTAATTAAATTCTATAGTCTTTCATTGAATCATTTTTACAGTGCACGTTTGTTGGCTTTTACTGACTGGTCTTATCATTCCGTATCTAAAGCCAAAGCCCAGTCCCAGCTCTCAATTCCTTCTGTCTCATGAAGTCAAACTGGTTCACAATTTACCGTGGCCTATTTTGATGCAGAGGGGAACTGTGCAAAGGGCCTGAAGTGGGTCAGTGCAGGTGTGACGAGGAACAGTACAGGAGGACATTCTCAGGATGGCTCAGCCATGAAACGCTCATCAACTGCAAAGGCCACATGGTAGATTTAAAATGGAGACACGTGGCCTATACCAGCCTGATGAGGTCATCAAGGTGAGCATCCTCAACTCTAGGGTAGGTAGACAGAATGTGGACCTTAGTGCAAGGCACTGAGAGGAGCTCAGCTTTGTTTCAGGTCCATTGCCTAAGGAAGCGTAAACTGATTCTGTTCTCAAAGATTCATCTGGCAGAGCAGGGAAGGGCCATTCTACAGAATGGTGAGGACATGGACGACAAAGAATGACAGAGGAAAAGTTTAGGATTGGAAAAGGAGGAAGCAGCATGACAATGAAATTTGGTGACTGAGCTGGAAACTTTGAAGAAGGCCTGTTGATTGAGCAACAGCGTGGTATTAACACTGGTTTTCTGAATAGAACAGAAGGTGAGTTTGGCATATAGGACAGTGTCTTTGTTATAGGGAAAATCACACTATAGAATGTAGCAGTGTGCACCATGTCTACTCACTATTCTCAAGTGGTTCACAAAAAGATTTGTGACCTTGGGATAATATACAGAGCAATGAGGTAATAGAACAAATGTAAAAATGGAGATAAATCACCTATAGCATGCCAGACCTCCAAAAATGCTAAAGGAGGTTCTTCATGCTGAAGGCAAATTATACCAGAGGGAAGCACATTTACAGCGAAGAATCATGACCAACAAAAAGGGCAACCATGTGGATACATGTCTAATCTGTACTTATAATTTTATTTTCTGTAAGACATGACTTGCTCATGACAGCAAGAAGTCATAGCATTTGCTGGGCACGGTGGCTCATGCCTGTAATCCCAGCACTTTGGGAGGCCGAGGTGGGAGGATCATGAGGTCAGGAGTTTAAGACCAGCCTGGCCAACATGGTGAAACCCATCTCTACTAAAAATACAAAAATTAGCCGGGCGTGGTGGTGGGCACCTGTAATCCCAGCTACTGGGGAGGTTGAGGCAGGAGAATCACTTGAACCCAGGAGGGGGAAGTTGCAGTGAGCTGAGACTGTGCCACTGCACTGCTGCCTGGGTGACAGAGCCAGACACTATCTTTAAAAAAAGAAAAAAAAGAAAAAAAACTCCTCGCGTTTATTGTGGGTTATAACACATATAGAATTAAAATATACAAAACAAAATATAGCACGTTACATATATAGATTTATCTATTTATTATTTAGTTTTGAGACAGGGCCTCACTCTGTTGCTCAGGCGGGAGCGCAGTTGTGTGATCATGGCTCACTGCAGCCTCAACCTCCCTCAGCTCAGTGATCCTCCTACCTCAGCCTCCTGAGTAGCTGGGACTGCAGGTGATCACCACCACACCCAGGTAATTTTTGTATTTTCTTTGTAGAGATGGGGTTTTGCCACATTGCCTAGGCTAGTCTCCAACTCCTGAGTTCAAGATCTGCCCACCTTGGCTTCCCAAAGTGCTGGAATTATAGTTGTGAGCCACTGCACTCATCCTGAGCATACATAGATTTATATTATTTTAAGGTTTGTTCATAGATATTCTGTGAAACAATCAACAGTAGTTTTGACTAGAATATAACACTTTAGAAATCCACAGTAAATGGCTATAGCAACCACAAAAGAAAGTTATACCTTAACACCATTAATTTAAAAATGAAATATTAAAAATACCAGACTGTCCCAAAAGAAGGCAAAAGAAAATACAAACAGGAAAAACAGCAGAATGAACAAACAGAAAACAGAGCCTCCAGCTTCAGTTTTCAACGGCAGAAAGTAAAAGCCCCTAAAAAACAAGTTCACGGATGGAAGCTTCCATACCCTTCTTAATATGACTTCATCCATCCAAGCAAAATTTCCTGAAGGCTGGCTGTGTAAGGAAACTTCCTGGTTTTGAGGAGAAGTGATCCGTTAGACAACACCGTTTCCCTGTTTAGCACTCTAGCATTTGGAGAAATGTAAGTGAAATCAAACACAAAATAACATAGGAAAAATATTTTCCAACTTTGAGGTATCTTATGATCCTCTGTGAAATAAAATCTCTCCCTGCTCTGGAGTAAAATTAATGTGGACCAATTCATGATTGTATACCAGTACATGGCAGGCATTAACTATATTCACACTGAGATCAAGTTGATTAAAATTCTTTAATACTTCTTTAGAAAAGAGATTTCTTTTAGACTGTTCCACTGGCTGAAGAGCAACTCATTTCCTCAAAATGTCATGCATCTGCTTTGAGCTCATAATTTAATCTACGGACAGTGTGATTCCCCAGCGTGGCACCAATATCAAATTGACCAGCTAAGGTCATTGTGGTGATCATCTACAAACTCAGTCCTCAATACACGGTTTCTGAAAAGAGTATTTGTGGCTAGTATTGAATCTATCTTTTATACCTTTACCTTCTCTACAGTGATTCTCACCAATTCAAGAGCAGAAATTCAAAGGCCTAGGATCCCTAAAGATCAAAAGGAAGGGGAAACAGTGGGGAAACTTGTCGAAATACCAGAAATAAGCATCAACCATAGATGAAAACCCTCAAAGGCAATGATATAAAAAGCACAAACAGATTGCACAATGTAAATGACAAAGGTGACCATCAGCATTAGGACGGTGTGAGGCTCTGGTCTCCAGGGAGCATTTGTTGTAGTTTCCAGCGGTGTGAATATGCTGTAGTCTCTGGTGGTGTCTCTGCAAGAAAAGTACCATGGAGCCACTGGTCCAGACCATCAGGCAAATAAACATCGCATCATGGGTGGACCTCAAGGAGACCATGCCCACGGTGGGACTCGAGGAGGAGGAGGACCACCTGCCTTCACAATCGGTACTGCTGTGTGTGTCCTGGGGACCAGTGACTTTCATGGGAATATAGATACAATTTAAGACACCAAACACCCAGAAAGGGCCGCAGGAAGGAGCAGTGCCTTGGGGGTTCTTCTAAGCACCACCCTCCCTGGACTCCCAGGACTAACAGTGAGTTACCGATAGGTGCTCAGGACACAGGTGCAGCTCAGGGTGGCGCTGAGAGCCACCAGGAGGATGAAATAAACACATTTACACCCAAGACTGGACAGGGATTTCCTTGGCATGAAAGTAGCCATCAGATGGGGAATCCCAGTGGGAAGAAGAACCATGAAGTTGGCCACAGCCGAGTGGGTGAGAATTACACGGGTGGGCTGCAGCGTGTGGCCGAGCAAGATTGGCGAAACGTAATGGAGGGACAGAATGACACTGGCCAGAGTCCCAATTCCGATCTGGAAATTAGAAAGACGGTTTTCACGGCCACTTTCCCTGGTGTTCTGAGGACACTGTTCCAAAAAGTCATGGAGAGGACTTGTGGGTGGCCTGGAGTGACGAGCTGCCTGTACCAGCAGTGACAACAAAGTTCTTTTTCTTTATCTGACTGGTAAAAAGATGCTGGGCTTTTTGTTTTCCTGAAAATAGAGACACTGTCATATTCCGCAAGAGGGGCTCCATCTGGAGATTATACCACTGAAGCCAATTACATTTCACAATTATAATTTTGTATCTGTTGCTATTTACTTCTATAATTTGGCACCTAACCAGAAGGCGAATTTAGGAACCATATCTGTTGTTCAATAATATGACAATGTAAGTTTTCAATACACATGTACTTTGTAAATATGTATTGAATAAGTGAAAGCTGAGACAAGAACGCACTGTCCTGTTAGAATTCACGATTGTTCTGCCTGCCTTAAGAGTGCATTACAAGTAAAAATCAAGAATTCAAGTTAATATCCTAATTACAAAAGTATCTGCCTAAAGAAAATAGTTCTCAGCAAACTAGCACAAGAACAGAAAACCAAGCACCGCATGTTCTCACTCATGAGTGGGAGCTGAACAATGAGAATACATGGACACAGGGAGGGGAACATCACACACTGGGGGCTGTCGGAGGGTGGGGGGTTAGGGGAGGGACAGCATTAGGAGAAATACCTAACATAGATGACCGGGTGATGGATGCAGCCAACCACCATGTCACATGTATAGCTATGTAGCAAACCTCCATGTTCTGCACATGTACCCCAGAACTTAAAGTATAATTAAATAGCCAGAAAATCAACTGTCAGCTTTTGCGAACTTTTCAAATTAAGTATAGTGACAGAACCACAAGAACAAAACCTTAAAAAAGTCAATAGTCCTCTGAAGACACAGATAATCCTTAAATGTGTTTAGATATTTGAGTGTAGAAAAAATCACCAGGGGGCAAGAATTGTAGTTGTTACAGTATTCTAGATATTAACTTGGAATGGTGAGAGGTGAGATCCTAGAGCACTTTTCCTGAGTGGTCTCCAGCCATCCTTGGTCCACCCCAACTACTAATTAAATCACATGACAATTAGACGCACTGCACAGATTATTTTAAAATGTACTTTTTGAGTAAATGCCTGTATGTTGTCCGACTATTGGCTTCTAAAATTTTCAAAGGACAATCAGGCTGAGTGCCTGAGCTCGAATTCCCCAGAACGCACTGGGGTGTGACATTAAAGCCAAGTTTGACCTGAACCCTTAGGAGCAGGAGCATGTACAGGTCACATTTGTCAGGCTTCCAAATTAGCCACCTGGGGAAGGTCTTAAGATGGGTGGCCTATGTCCCATCCCTGAGCAAATAATCTTCTAATGAGTCCTCAAATCTTACTGTGAGTTGCTTCAACTATCGACATGCTGATTAACATGTTACCTACTGACATCAAAAAGGCAGTGACTTGTCTCTGAATTGTAACGTTCTGCTGATTTATTTGTAAATCATTTTTTACTGTCTTGCACACAGAACATTCTCGCCTGTAAGCTGTAGTCTGTAGCCAATGACTGTAACCTCTGTACCGTGCCCTCCAATGAAGAAGGATGACTGCTACGAGTACCCCCCGCGTCCCCCTTGCAGCAGACTCTGAACCACGGCCAACTTTGCTGCTGCGTCTTCCCAGATCCATTCTCACACTTCTTTTCCAGTAAACTGTTATCAGATTACTTCTGCCTCAACAGCCTTAATTTCAGTCACTATTTAAAAAGCTCTCCGAGGTAAGGCACAAAGATGGACATATTCTGGTCAAAAAATTAAGGTCTTTCAGAGGCAATAATCTTAGTGATTACTGTAGGATCCAGGAGTCATTTGCATGCGCACAAGTGGGAAATGAGCTCTATGCCAAAGTCCAGAGTTGACAGGAGTCTGCCCTCCTCAGGAATATCAGGACCATCTTATGAAACCACCAAGAGGGTGGTGCACGAAGGGGCACAGTGAGTAGCTAGCTTATTACTGTCAACTTTGGATTCACAGGATCTGAGTCCAGTCCTGACACCCTGCTTGCTCTCTGCTGCTGAGACGTTGGATCTTGCTTTTGAGCTGGCAAAACCTGTTTCCTTATATATTAAGGGGCTAAAAAAAGATCTAAGGCAGAAGACTAGTTTGTTAGGATTCCAGCCTCTGGGGCCAGACGGCTCTCAGTTAGTGTCAAAGCACCCACTTAGTAGCTTAGGACAACCTGTGTTAGTCTACTCACTCTGTGCCTCTGTTTTCTCATTTTAAAAATTAAAATGCTCATATTTAAAATATAAATTAAAAATTAAATGCTCAAATTAAAAATACAGGTCATAAAAACGGTCTGAACAACGACACTGCTTTCATGTGGACCGTGGATCACCAACGGCTGCGACAATGGAAATTCTCCTTTAGTACAGGAGAAACTGGTTATTACAGATATTTTTGTCCTCGAAGCCTTCTTAGAAAATAGTTTTTCTCATTAATTTTTAATTTTTGTCTTCTCCCTCTTACTGCCATGGGCTCTGCTTTTAAACATTCACTAGGAGAGATTATGGAAAATATGAATCACATACATGCACAATATAGAAAAAACACAGAAAAATAACCCAGAAACTCTCTGGAGCAATCTTAGGACAACTGCAGCAAACCGGAGTGTGACTGAAGAAGGTAAAACAGCCTCAGTATGTTGTAGTTTGATTCGCTCTGTATTTCCGTGCGTGTCATACCAGCTCTCATTTTATGCTTCAGATTTTTAGAACTTGAATCCACACCCAGCACATCACCTTGCCCACTTGGACACACAGGCAACACAACTTGTCAGTCTCAGCTGGGGAGGCGCTCAACGCCTCTGGAAATCCAAGGCTTGCCTCAGACTCCAGGAGGAGAGCTCATCCCTCTTTCTCTCATTGACAACCAGGACACAGGGATTTGCAGGGTTCCCTCAATGCTACTTCCCGTTTCCAAAATCACGGTGACACCTCAAATCCTTTCACAATGAACATCTCCATATGACCTGGAGTCTGATCTTTCCTACAAAGTTAAATACCACAACGGCTGCTACACCTGCGCCCCATCTCTTTAGACTAGTAAATAAGCCACATGAAGGCACTGTTTCTCTCCCCAGAAGATGCTGGCCCTCCCATGCAGGGAGATTACAGTTTGCTTCTCAAGACACCCAAAGAGCCCGAATTTCTCGTGTCTGGTATTGGACTACCAGACTCTGAGTAGCAGATGTTCCCCGTTTTCTGAAGGACTTGCACTAGGAAGAAGACATCTAAGTCGTACACACAGGGATAAAGGGAAAGCTTGAAACAGGAAATACAGGCTCAGGATAGCTGACGAGGTCCAGCTGGGGCCCTCTTCCACGGAGAGGGTCCAAAATACGCAGTAGATATTGACACTTTAAATCGATGGTCTGAGAAGGAACACCATAATTCAACAGAGGCCGTGGGAGACTGAGGGTGCAGAAACGGGGAGGCAGTCACGCCTGCTCAGACCGGATCCCTAGGAGCTAGGAGAGGCCCCCAGGCCTCGACCCGTGGGAGGAAAAAGTGAGAGACCCTCAAGGCTCCACTTTCCCACCATGGACCTTGACAATCGTAGGGACAGGAGGGCTCTCAACCCTGCAGGCCTCCCGACCGGCATAGGGAGCTGCCTCGAGGCCACCGAAGCACTGCAGGAACTCACGTGGAGCCCCACGGGCTTCCCAGAGTGGCCAGGGGCTGCAGGGCGCCATTCTGGATATCCCTCCCCCAAGGCTCTGCGTCCTGCCCCGAGGCCGCCACTGCCCACTGCAGGCCGGGAAGGCGAGAGGAGGCTGGGTGCTCTCCTGTGCCCCAGCGGCAGGTGCCACCACTGCTGCTGTAGCTGCTGCAGAACCGAGAAGCAATCACACCACGCGCCCCACACCTGCCAGCCTCTCCTGCGGCCGTCGGCCCGGCGGTTCCTATGGAGAGGGGCCTGCCCTTCCCAGTGGCAGGTCCACAGCTCAGCCAGCGCGAGTCTAGGGAGCCCGAGGACACGTCCCCCGGCCTGACCCCATCCCCCTAGGACTCCAGCTCGCCGTCCAGGTCCCGCAGCACGGGGACGAGACTGAGGATCTGACTGGAGCAGAAGGGGAGCCCCAGGGCTCAGATCTGAGAGGAGGGCGCAGCGTGGAGCTGGGAGCCCTTCCGTCCCGGAATCTGACCTGGAAGACGGTGGCCTGGGAGCCCCCGTGTCCGCCCCAGGCAGGGAGCGTGGCGCAGCTTCAGGAGCTGCACGCAGATGCTGGGGCTGGCTCGGCTGTCTGCTGCCAGGCCGGACCCCCGAGGGACGCCCACCCAGTCCGGGCCGGGGGCGAGCCGGCGGGTCCCACCAACAGCAGCGGGGCCGGGGGGTGCGGCTGCCCTCTGCCCTCTGCCCTCTGCCCTCTGCCCTCTGCGGCGCTCTGGGGTAGGGAACAGGCCCCACCCTTCCCTGGAAAAGTGTCCCAGGGCCCTGGGACCGCCGGGGGAGCACTCACCGCCTGGCTGTCAGACGTGAAGCAAGGGACCCCGAGAGCTCCACGCGCTGCCCTGCGCCTGGGACATCCGGGGCTTCTCCGGAGTCAAAAACGCCAAGCGCGAATCCCACAGCCACCGCCGAGCTGCCTCCTGCCAGCGCCTCCTGCCGGCCTGGAGGTCAAGCTGCCCGGCCCCCTTTCTGCAGGAGCCGAGGCCACTGCTCGGTGCTAGGTCAGCCCCTATGCACGAGCGCCTCCTGCTGGCCTGGAGGTCAGGCTGCCCGGCCCCCTTTCTGCAGGAGCCGAGGCAGTTGCAGGATGCTGGGTCAGCTCCTAGTCACAAGCTTCACCTGCTGTCGGGGAGGTCAACCTGCCCGGCCCCTTTCTGCAGAAGTCGAGGCAATTGCCGCGTGCTACGTCAGCTCCTATGCACAAGCTCCACCTGCTGACTGAGAGGTCAACGTGCCTGGCCCCTTTTACGGGGTTGGCTACAATTGTATGCTGCTAGATCAGCTTCTACCCATAAGCTTCACCTGCTGTCTGGGAGATCAACCTGCCCGGCCCCTTTCTGCCGAAGTCGAGGCAATTGCCGCGTGCTAAGTCAGCGCCTATGCACAAGCTCCACCTGCTAACTGAGAGGTCAACGTGCCTGGCCCCTTTTATGAGGTTGGATACAATTGTATGGTGCTAGGTCAGCTCCTACCCGTAAGTTTCACCTGCTGTCTGGGAAGTCAACCTGCCTGGCCCCTTTCTACAGAAGTCAAGGCCATTGCACGGTGCCAGGTCAGCTCCTACGCGCAAGCTTCACCTGCTGGCTGGCAAGTGGAATTGCACAAACCTCTCAAACACCTCCTGACAGTTCAATGGGACAGGAGAGAAGCTTCCAGAGAGCTCCACCTTTTCAGTCCTGCAGCAAGCAGTGAGCCTGCTCACATGCCCAGTACAACCTATGCATAATCAGCATCGGAGAAAACCACCACACCAAGCCTGTCCATAACCAAGGAATTCACACGGAGCCTGTGCCTGAAAGCACTCAGAAGTGAAGGCAGAGGGCCCCACCCAACATGCACTAGTCACACCCTCGAGGTGAGGGGAACGTTCCATCCCTAAGAATGCAAATTCAAAACTAAGAAGTGATGGCTTCTCCAGATGAGAAGAAACTGGTGTGAGAATCCTGGCAGGGTGGGAAAATATTGTTATGACCTGATTGCTAACCCAACATCAAGTGGAACCAGAATTAATTACATGAGACTAAACTAACAGATAACTAAAATATTCTTACACTATTTTATTATATATCATGGCTCACTATTTTTATGTTTTGTCTTCCAGACGCAAGAAAATTCTATTTTGAGCTATTTATAGCTTACAACAACTGGGTAAAGTATATATTTGTGGGCAAAATGGAAATATTTATCTTTCCATTTGATTTCTCTAGTATTTGGAAATCATTTGTGAGTATTCTTATGGGAAAATAGTTATGTGCATAAGTTTAATAAGAATCTGTTTTTTACCACCACACAATTAGATACACGGATTATTTTACCAAGGCTTTTAATGAATGGAATGGCATATTTTCAATTATAACCAGACTGCTTTGAGGAATGGAGGTTAACTTTACAGAGATGATAAAATGTCTCTTAGAAAGACTGGCCTGATACCTTGTATACACGATTTCCTTGCAAGGTTTATGACTTTGCAGTAATTAAAGAATGTTACTTTCAGACAGGCACAGGAAAAACAAGGTATTTTGGGACCTCAAGAAGAGAGAAATTCATCCAGTTCATACAGGTATTACAGACAGAGTCTGATGGCAAATCTTTGGGTTGGCTTCCTAGCCTTGTGACATTTGAAATGGTAATCTGGATTCCTTATGGAAAAATTCCAGAAAAGCCAACTTGGAAAGACACTATGTGGTCATTTACTATTCTTGTTGCACTTTGTACAAGTAAGCAGGATAAGTATAATACTAAAACATATTTTGCAAATAAATTTGTTCTGTGAAGATTTATAGTAAATCTTTACTAAAAATGAAGTTTAGTAAAAATGAAGACATGGAAAAAGAAAACCTTTTTTTCAGAAGACATCTATAGTACATCTGTTATCAGATCATCCATTATTTCTACAATTTTATTTTTCTACAATTTGAACTAAATCCTAAATTATTTTCTTGCTACAACAAATCCCTAAAAAATGAATGAGTCTTAATTTTCTTCATGATGTCTTCAATGGACTCTGCAGTGGAATAGATTTTTTTCATCATGACATATAAATTTCTTAAATTATAATTCTTAGTGAATTATATTTCTACTCTGTATCTCTCAGTGTTTTACTTCTTCTGAAAAAACCAGGTTCACAGGACTCTGAAGACTAGAGATAATTCAACCATTGACAGCAGCTATGGGACAATAACTTTACAGGACTGCTCAGAAACAACTTTCCCAATGATGAGGGACACATTGAGAATCAGATTTTGATCATCAGTGCTTTCAAGAAGAAATGTTTCTGATCAAAAGGGGAAAATGAAAAATAAACTTTTAGGAATGTGAGTCCTAATTATCCGACCCAGAGAGACATTAAAATGAGATCACACTCACACCCTACCCCACCCACTCCCACCGATGTGTTCATCTCTTGAAACTGCTCGCTATTGCCACAAGTAGCTAGACACTATAGTAGCTGCACTGCACACTGTAATCCATACACTGTAGTTTAACGATGTATCAGCAATGACTAATCAATGTTATTTCCGTCAGTCATTTAGAGCTTCTGACAACCAACTTTCTAACAGCCCATTCCCTGTTGCCACCACTTGCCTTTGAAAGCTGCTTCTAACAAAAGCTGAGAAGAGCTCAAATCCAAGATTACAGAGGTCTGTGTTTTTCAGGCAGCTGTCCTCACTTTGGAAAAGTAAACTCTTTACATTTATATTTTGTCCTTCAGCCTCCTCATTTTAGGCTGACAGAACAAATATAAACAAATTAGATTGCATCAAATGAAAATGCCTCTGCAGAGGAAACAATTCACAAAGTGAACAGATCACACAAAAAGAGAAGATATTTACCAACCATACATCTTACAAAGGGTTCATATCCAAAATATAAAAGAAATGCACCTCAAAATTGAGAACACAAACAACCAGATAAAAAATGGACATATGGGGGCCGGGCGCGATTGCTAAAGCCTGAAATCCCAGCACTTTGGGAGGCCGAGGCGGGTGGATCATGAGGTCAAGAGATCGAGACCATCCTGGTCAACATGGTGAAACCCCATCTCTACTAAAAATACAAAAAAAATTAGCTGGGCGTGGTGGTGCGTGCCTGTAATCCCAGCTACTCTGGAGGCTGAGGCAGGAGAATTGCCTGAACCCAGGAGGCGGAGGTTGCGGTGAGCCGAGATCGCGCCATTGCCCTCCAGCCTGGGTAACAAGAGCGAAACTCCATCAAAAAAAAAGAAAAAAGAAGAAAAAGAAAAAAAAAAAAAAGGACATATGACCTGAATAGATGTCAACAGAAGACATACAAATGGCCAACAGATACTTTTAAAATGCTCAAAAATCACTAATCGTTAGAGAAATACAAGTTAAAACTATAATGTGTGTGCCACCATGATGGGCTAATTTTTGTATATTTAGTAGTGGTGGGTTTCTCCATGTTGGCTAGGTTGGTGTCGAACTCCTGACTTCAAGTGATTCGCCTACCTCAGCCTCCCAAAGTGCTGGGATTACAGGCAGGATCCGCCGTGGCTAGCCTTGAATTAGATTTTAATAACATTTGTAAAAACCAAAAAAATTGAAAAACTTCTGTTGAACCTCTCTAGTTATTTTACTTTATGCCCCTCAATTTCTAACTAGTTCATTTTTAAAGTTTCTGTATGGTTATTGATATGTTCTATTTTGAGAGGTGGTGTTCTTCTAATTTACTTCAGTCCTTTGCCTATCATTTTCTTTAGTTCTTTGGGCCTATTCAAGACAGATAATTCAGTCTGTGGAGAGGAAGTTGAATGTCTTGGCTTCTCACAGACATTTATTTCATCTTGTGACTTGTATACATTCTGTTTTCTTTGTGTGCCTCATAATTTTTTTATTTTTATTTTTTATTTTTTTGAGACGGAGTTTCACTCTTGTTACCCAGGCTGGAGTGCAATGGCGCGATCTCGGCTCACCGCAACCTCCGCCTCCTGGGCTCAGGCAATTCTCCTGCCTCAGCCTCCTGAGTAGCTGGGATTACAGGCACGCGCCACCATGCCCAGCTAATGTTTTGTATTTTTAGTAGAGACGGGGTTTCACCATGTTGACCAGGTTGGTCTCGATCTCTCGACCTTGTGATCCACCCGCCTCGGCCTCCCAAAGTGCTGGGATTACAGGCTTGAGCCACCGCGCCCGGCCCTAATTTTTTGTATTTTTAGTAGAGACAGGGTTTCACCATGTTGACCAGGATGGTCTCGATCTCTTGACCTCGTGATCCGCCCGCCTCCGCCTCCCAAAGTGCTGGGATTACAGGCGTGAGCCACCGCGCCCGGCCCTGAAAGGATTTATACAAGAAAATAAACTAATTAGAATTCTGCCAGAAGAGATGATTTTCTCTATGGATGTCTATGTACAGATATGGTATGCGTGTGTACGGAGACATGCATGTGACGTATTATATTATAGATCCCAATCAATGAAGAAGTTCGATGTGCAAGGATTTGAAATATATGCATCACAACTTAGAGTTTTGTGTTTCTCAGTTTGCCTTCAGGAGACAAAAGGGATTGAGGGCTGCCTTGGCTTTGAATGTGAAAGAAGAGAATCTAGCAAACACCAGGGAATGATGAGTATGGAGACGATTAAATGAAAGACGATTTAATCCAATCACCTTAAAGTAATCAAATCCTTTGCTACGCTACCTCCAGTCTCCGAGTTTTACATTCTTATCCGTGAACTCTGATCATCTATAATATATTTAATACATGAGGAACCCATTTCTGAACATTAAAAAAAAGAACTGAATCTCATTTTATATATGTTGCGTTGCATGGGAAATAGTAAGATTATAACAATATCTTCTATGTTTTTAGATGCTATAATGAAAAAAGAAAAACAGGACTTTCACTGGCCGATTGTCTGGAAACAGTTGCGGGATTCCTTTTCTAAGCTTCTTAATTAGAATCTTTTACAGTATAGAGAAAACGTTTTTGAGAGTTGAGCATGGTCTGTGGAGGGTCCTATTAGTAACTTCTGAGTAGGTT